AGTATTTAAAGCAATCCTTTTTAGTTTGAACATTATCATGTGGAAATAACACTAATATTCTACAGAAAGACTGCACCTTTAAAATTGTAGTTTCAAACTCCAAACATCAGCTTTACAACTTCTGTTCAAGGGAAATTAAGAAAACAAGAAGTAACGTACTGGGTCAGACCAGTAGTCTATCTAGCCCAGTATCCTGTCTGACAGTGGCAGGGCTTTAGAGGGAAAACATCAAACAAGACATCACTAGAGGGATCTATCCCCTGTATTCCAGTGGTTTTCAACCTTTTGCCACTTGTAGACACCCAAAAAATGTCATAAGGAAGTGCAGAACCCTTTGAATTTTAAGTGTGGGTATTCACATACTTTTGATTGATCATAGTCATGAGTTGTGGGCCTCTTAGACAGTCTGCAGAGCCCCAGGGGCCTGTGGACCACGAGCTGAAAACCACTGCCCCCTATTCAATAACCTCACTGGTATTTATTGGTTTAGAGAAACCATTCTGTTCAACAGCCATTAACAGAACTATCATCCATTAATTTAACCCCTTTTTGAACCTGGCTATGCTATTTGCTACCTACTGTGACAACAAATGCCACAAGTTAATTATGCATTGCATAAAAATGTACTTTCAGCAAGTGCCCCTAGGACTAATATTCTAGGACTTGGTAAATAGTTCCCTGTTCACTTGGTCCACACACCCTTCCATGATTTTATAGATCTCTATTACATTCTTCCTTTCCAAACTGAAGTGTCTTACCCTTCTTAGTCTCACCTAGTATGGCAACTATGCTATACCCTTGATCATTTAGGTTGCCTTTCCCTGTACCTAAGAGTTAATATTATTCAATTTAGCCTTGAGTGCATCAGTTCTGCACTGCAAAAATGCCACAATCTTTCCACAGAATCTGCTCTCCAAACTACCTTCCCCCACCCCACATAATACCTCAAGTATAATTTTTTTAACCAGCCCCTTGAAAGGAAACATCATCTGGTAATTACCTTGATCTTTTTAGGGAACCAGATCGGGATCTGCGGGGTGAGATTGATCTAGATCTACGAGGAGAGATGGACCGTGATCGGCGAAGGGAAGCTGACCTGGATCTGCAAAGAGATTTTTTTTTTTTTTAACACAACACATTAGACAATTTCCCCTAAATGAAAGCATAAGACAGTTTGTGGTTTACCTTCTCCCACGACTTCGGCTGCGTGAGCGAGAATACCTTCTTCCTCTGGATCTTGAATGGGATCTAGACCGTGACCTAGTTTTAGGTTAGAGACAAAGGTTTTCAGAACAACGTTCCAGCAATTAGTGCAAGCGAGCCTCGGCTGACGTCAAAGTCAGACAACTAAAAAACTAGTGTCTGCCAGTTGGAAAAAACTCAGGGCCTATTTGTCTTGAGCAATTTTTACTACCTAGAAAAATGTTAAAAAAGCTGAATTACATTTCAGAATTACATTAGAATTAAAAAAAAAACACTGTAATGTGTATTTAAAATAAACCTTGCAAGTTTGCGGGTCGACCCTCTTTGGCCCAAGGTCTAGCAGATCTAGACGATCTAGAAGTATCTATAGCCGATCGCTGCATCTAGGTGTTCTCTTCAATCTAACGACGATCAAACTGACAGCCAAATGAGCCAGGGTGAGGCTTGATTGACGCAAGAAGATTTTTCTAGGTGGGCATGTGGTCAATCTGGTGTTCCTCTTTCTAAACCGGAGGGGGGGGCCCCAATTGAAAGCCAAATTTACTGTTACGGCGGGCACCGTCTCAAATTTTCTGCCCTTAAAGTATTAAGATAGTGACAGTCCATACGAAATAGCAACAAATCGCAACATACGCCTGCACAGTTAGTTATAACATTAACGTTAACCATAACCAAAACCGGCGTAACAATCTCTTCTGTGCTAACAAAAACTACCAGAGTAACAGGCCTAGCCAACCAACCAACCAACCACTCCGGTCACGTACGTACCGGCTCCTCCTCCGACGACTGTAACGATGACAGTCATACGCATAATGACCCTTCTCCCCACATTCGTAACACCTGTCGTTAGGATCAAACGGCCGTCGGGCTGGAGGTCTGTCATAGCGGGAGCGACGAGGCATGCCGGTCGACAGCTCTACACGTACTCTGGAGCCGCAGATTACCCTGCAATTGAGAAAGTGAAACTGGGTAAGTGACGCAGGTTTCCCTCGCTTTATGTTGTACATCCATTCCTGAAAAATGGCATGTAACTCAAATTCGCATGAAGGGATCCCACTTTACAGCGTAACAAATAGGGATATGTTAACAAGACCTTGACTGTACTGACCCCCAGACCCATTTCTACCACTTTTACAAGACAATTTTGGTACTCTCCAACAGCAGACAGTACACGCAAGCACAGGGCACTATCATAATGGGGGAGGCAACTACAGAAACATGTTGCAGACAATGAGCAAGGAGCACAGATCCAGACAGGAGACTATATTTTAGTGCTTATCACTCCCAATGCACCGCACAAAGCAGTTGACTGCAGGTGTCAATCACACCGCTCCATAAGAGTGAATTTACCTCACATACAACACATTTTTGGTATAAAAAGGGTCGTTGCATGAGAGCGAATTCACGCATACGGAACCCACATAAAGCGAGAAAAACCCATGTATTTATCCCTTGTGAAATCCCCATCAGGGATGCACCTCAATTGAAGACAAATCTCAAACACTGAGCCAGCAGCTTGTTAAAAATAAATAAATAGAAAGCCCCAGAAAACCTAACACCTACTTTCCGTCTAGTCCACGAACAGCATCCTCAGCGTCTCGGGGGTCTTCGAACTCCACAAAGGCGAAGCCCGGCGGGTTTCGGGCAATCCACACAGTGCGCAGCGGCCCGTAGTAGCTGAAGGCTCTCTCCAGCTCACCCTTCCCAGCGCCTGTGCCCAGGTTGCCCACGTACACCTTGGTCTCTGGCGGGAGACAGCGGCCGTTAGCGGCTTGGGTCCCGCGGGCGGGACACGCGCTCGGAGCCTCCACGCGAACCCCCCGCCCGCCCGTTGCGGGGCCTCCCGCGCGCCCAGGCGCCGCCATCTTTGGCACCGCCTCCATTTTGGCGCGCGCCGCCCGCGCCGCCCCTCCCCCCCCGTCCATGCGGCCGGGTGG